GGGCTCTTTTAGGGCCCTTTGTAGGACGCCAGTCCACTGGACCCACCAGCACCCCTCGAAACTGGCGGCAGTTTCGCAGATCGCAGCCCCTCCCCCCCCAGGGATGGCGAGGTCCAATCTGAGCCCCCATATGACGTCAGTCTGCTGGCCCCCCCATGCAGCCCTCTAAAGTTGGCCCTTCTAGGGCTTATTTGGGCGCCAAGAAAAGTCAATACGGGCCCCAGGAGGGCCCCAAGAAGGCCCCAAGGGGACCTTAAGCCTTAAGAGTGGCCCAGAGAGACCCCAAGAAGGCCCCCAAAGCAGCCCCTTCCGAAACATCAACTATTGTTCGGTTGTTCTTCCCGCCCCCTTCCGACAAATAAAATATGTGTCGGTCGCTTTTTCCTCTTGCTGCCGTTTCGGGCCTTTTCAGGGCCCCTTGTAGGACGCCAGTCCACTGGACCCACCAGCACCCCCTCGAAACTGGCGACAGTTTCGCAGATCGCAGCCCCCCCCCCCAGGGATGGCGAGGTCCAATCTGAGCCCCCATATGACGTCAGTCTGCTGGGCCCCCCATGCAGCCCTCTAAAGTTGGCCCTTCTAGGGCTCATTTGGGCGCCAAGAATAGCCAATAAGGGCCCCAGGAGGGCTCCAAGAAGGCCCCAAGAGGGCCCTAAGAGTGGCCCAAAGAGACCCCAAGACGGCCCCCAAAGCGCACCCTTCCCCTAAGGATTTTTCAGGATTCCTATGGATTCGTAAATCTTATCAAGCATTCCGACGGAATCCGGAGGAGTCCTGATCTTAAGGATCCTAAGGGATCCCAAGGACCCTAAAGAATCCTAAGGATCCTAAGGAGTCCTAAGGAGTCCTAAGGAATCCTAAGGAATCCTACGAAATCCTAAGGAATCGAAGTACTTGTGAAGAAGAAAGAAAGACATACTTCTGAAGAAGAAAGAAGCACTTCCGAATAAGAAGGAAGTATGTCTGAAGATCCCATGGTTGTAATTGGTCCCATGTATGGTTGCAATTCGCTCCGAACGGTTGGAATTGGGACCAGTCGGTTGTAATTCGCCCCATTTCGGGGGGAGGGGCGAGGGGAGGAGGGAGGGGGGTTTAGGGAGAGAGGGAGGAGGGGGAGGGGAGAGAGGCAGGCCGGAGAAACGCGAGGAGCCACAACCACAGATGGCCCCTCCTCCTCCTCCTCCTCCTCCTCCTCCTCCTCCTTCGCCTCCTGGCGATCCGTCTGGCCCCTATGGGCCGCCAGGCATAGCAGAAAACCGAAACCCCGACACAAACTGAATCCATAGTTTCTCTGATAGGGTTGCAGATGGCTCGGAGGGTATATATTTATATGCATACATAGAAGCCGGATTTCGGGGCAGATCATGATGATGCGGGACACGGGGTAATCAAAATAAAGAGCCACATGCTTGAACTTACGCCATTTCAAATGGGCTCAGATACCGAATTTTGGGGTGCCGATGGTTTCACCCCGGCCCAGGGAGAAGTCGTGCTAACTTGCTGGTCTCTTGGTCATTTGTTCTCAGTTTTGTCTGTGCCTTATCTACAAGTGGCGTTCCTTTCGCTACCGTGACCTCTAGATCTATTACTTTTGGCTTCTGTGAGTGAGTCGCTGCGCGTAGATTTGCATTGCGTTCCTGAGCTCCGGCCAGGGAAGATATCGAGTTGTCGTCGCTCGTGTGCTTCCCTATGGGGCCATATACACTCCAGTTGGGCACGGTGGGTGTAGAAATGACCGAGAGACACCACGTCAAAGGTTTGTCCAATTAGGACCAGGTCGAGGGACCGCTTGTGAGGGGTGGTCGCCCAGCACTCTGGTCAGGGAACAGGAAACTTTAGAAACCAGAGCAAAGAAGGAGGGGTTCCCTGGGGGTTGGCTAGGGACGTCCCCTCGATGACCACCAACTGGGCCTAGATCGCCCCCCCCCTCCTTGGCCTGATCGTGGATTCCCTGCTCCTTGTTCTGAGCTTTCCTGATGGGGTCTCTGACGCGTGGACACCTCCCACCGCCGTCCTCCGCTCTGGCAATCTGCCCCCAAAATCCGACGCTGCGAGAAAGTTGGAACACCGCGAACCAAAACACGATCAGATCCCCATACCCCATCCGTCATCGGGATCGATCCGTGATACGTAAGGGGGCGCGATGAATGGGGGGGGTGAAGATAGGTGCACCTCTGTACACCTGAATACGGGCTTCCCCCGTTGGGGCCCGCCGAAACGGGGGCACGAAAGGTGCACGTTTCTCCCCCCGTTCTTTGCGCCCCCCCATCAAGCAGCGCCCAACCCAGACCCCGAACTGGGGAGGGAGCGCCCGGTGTCCAGACTATCCTCCTCACATCACTCCTCCACGTTCCTCCTCGTTGCTTCTCCTCCTCCTCCTCCTCCTCCTCCTCCTCCTCTTCCCGGATCTCAGGGCCGCCCCTGCGTGCGCCGCAGGCCCGCCAGCCGGGGCTCGCCAAGGGCAAGCACGTCATCAACAACATCAAGCACAAGCTGCGGGGCACCCAGCGGCCCTGGGGTCCCCATCCCCGCCCGGATATTGGTATCCCACCTCCACCGGGCCACCACCTCAGCTTGTGGATGGGCCCCTCGAAGCCCGAAGGGAACATCCCCTACTCCCATCTACGGTAGGTTTGCGTCGTGTCGACCAGTGGCGACCCCAGCGCGGGCGTTCAAGGTTGAACGCCGCCGTCGACCCAGAATCGATCGACGTTGAACGATCGGACGTTGCGGCAGCGGCCGATCGTTCAAGGTCGAACGATCCCTGCGGTGTCAAAAACCAACGCTGGGGTCGGCACGACGCGAACCTGCCGTACTCCCATCTAGTGAGGTAAATCGGCCAGTGGGGCCAATACCATGCCAGTGGAGATGGGGTTCGGTCGGACGATTCTAGGCCTCCCAGATGGGTCAGGGTAATCAGACGGGGTCGGAGGATCGCGCCCTATCGCCGATGCATTGGCGATGCGGCTCGATGCGGAGCCCGATGTTCTTCGCGCCCGCGCCCATGCATCGCCGTCGTCGCCGAAGCATCGCCGATGCAGCGACGTTGCATCAGCGGTGGATGCAGTGGCGATGCGGCGGGATGAGCCTGTTTTTCTCTAGGTTCGGGCAAGTTTACTTGCATGGGCGGGGGGGGGGGCTGAGTCTGAAGCAAGCCGAAATCAATTCGACGTGCGGAAATCACGCAAGTCGCAAGGCACCTGCACGCTCGTGCTCGACTGAAGAGGGGCGAGGGGGGGGGGGGGGGGCGAACGCCATGCAAGTAAGCCTGCCTGGACATAAAGAAAAACAGGCTCGATTCTCCGACCCCAAGGGGGGGGGGGGGGAGGGCGAACACGATGCAAGTAAGCTTGCCTGGACAGAAAGAAAAACAGGCTCGATTCTCCGACCCCAAGGGGGGGGGGGGGGGCGAACACGATGCAAGTAAGCTTGCCTGGACAGAAAGAAAAACAGGCTCGCTCCTCCGACCCCAGACCTGCCCGGGCCCCACCCCCCGGAGGCCCCCGATCAACACCTTAAGGAGCGGCCGCCGCTTGGCCGGCTGGCCGGCCTCCGGGGGCGGGCCTCGGGACCATCCAGACAAGACCCGGGCCGAAAACCCGACCCTGGGGGGAGGGGAGGAGGTAGGAGGAGGAGGTAGGAGGTAGAGGAGGAGGAGGAGGAGGAGGAGGAGGAGGAGGAGGAGGAGGAGGCGGAGGAGGAGGAGGAGGAGGAGGAGGATTGGACGGAGGGCCGGGCTCTGCTCTTCCTGGGGCTCCGGATCCGCTCCCTGCCAGGGCCGCCCAGCGCCTGGCCGCCCACGGGCGCACCACGGGCGCACCACGTCGGGCGCCCGTGCGCCGTGGCCTGCCAGCGGGCCCTGCGCCGTGGCCTGGCGGCCCGGGAGCCTCCTCGCCGGCGGGCGTCGGGAGCCTCGACCCTCCTCCTCCTCCTCCCTCCTCCTCCTCCCTCCTCCTCCTCCTCCTCCTCCTCCTCCTCCTCCTCCTCCCCTCCTCCCTCCCTTCCTCCCTCCCTCCCTCCCTCCCTCCCTCGCTCCCTCCCGGGTCAGTGCAAACGGGGGTCAGCCAGAGCGCCAGATCCTGCAGGCCGCTCGTGGCCGCGAGGCGGCCGCGCATATTGGCCGACCCGGGTTTGCGAAGGTTTGCGTTGCAGTTTCTTTCCTGCACTGCAGTTTTTGGTTTCCTGCTGACCCGGGTCTGGATTGACCCGGGTCAGAAGATCACCGAGGGCGGCGAAGCCTCGTGCAGCAAAGCCTCGTGCGAGATTGCACGAGATGGGGTTGGAGGAGATGAGGTCGTCGTGTGGTCCCCTCCATGGGAGCCTCAGAGGGTCCACAATGTTCTTGCGTTTTTTGGGGGATTTCGTTCAGATGTTCTCGGATTTGGTCGTCGTCTGGACGAATTCAGGAGGAACTCTGGAAGAGAGGGTAAAGAGGGGTGGTTGAAATCTGGATGAAATCCAGTCGAAAGCACGTCTATGATAGGGCCGTGGAGGCTTACAGAGGGTCCAATGAAGACTCACCCAAGGGTCGGAGGACTGCGCCGCCTCGCCGATGCATCGCCGATGCGGCTCGATGTGGAGCCCGATTATCTCACGCCGACGGCGCCGATGCATCGCCGACGTCGCCGATGCATCGCCGATACATCGGCGACGCTGTACGATCCTCTGACCCCATGTGCTCGGACTCCTTCTGGGAGACGTCTAGATGTCGCTCGGGGAAACGTAAGACTCGAGTTGGCTGGAATCCGGCTTCGCCGACGTTCTTTGGCGCGCCTGTTCTGGACTTTGGCGGTCCAGTTCTGGAGGGATGTTTGCAGCGGGAGCTCCCGTCCACTCTCAGAGTGGGTGTCATCGTTTCCCTGACGGCCTCGTCAGACCAACCCGAGTCCCCCGAACCGAGTTACGGTCCCCCGTCGTGCTGCTGGGTCTGTCGAAGAACAAACACATGCATCAACATAATTTGTCGGATTGCCTTGCGGAGTTCCTGGGCTGGCGCTACTTCCGCCCCTCCCCCTGGCGGCGCCTCCAGCGCCTCCAGCGCCGCCGATCCAAGAAATCCGCGCGAAGTGATGAAAGTTCATGCTTATGCCGTTTGTTGCCTTATCTATACATGCGACTTCGCGTCTGCGACCGGTGACCTGCAAGTTTGGATCAGTCGAGGGTTATTTGCTGACCTATGGTTTGTTCTGCCAGGGCCCCGGCTCACAAGCCAGACTTTGCGCCATCCGATGTTCCATTTTCGGGGGCGTAAGGACGCCTTGTTGGTGTGTGGCTCGCATCGTGGGCTTCCCCGGCTCGGTATCTCGCAGTCGCGCTCTGACTGGTACTCCCAGCACCGTCCAGCATGTCCTCATCCCCGATGCGCCATGGAATCCAGCTGCCTCCGGCAATGCCGCCAGCGTGCCAGCGCAGCCTTCTGAGTGGCAGCTGCTCGAGCAGGCAAGGGTGGCCTCCTGGGGGCCTCTTGGGCGCAGGCGGCTCGAACTCTGGGTCCGTGTGCCCACTCTTGGGCCCTTCTCGTCGGGGCCGTGTTGGGGCCCTCTTGGGCAGTCGTGGGCGCCTCTTGGGCCGTCGTGGGCGCCTCTTGGGCCGTTTTGAAGCTATTCTGTGGGTCCCTCTTGGGCCGTCTCGGGGGAGTCTTCGGGGGCCACTTGGGCCGTCTTGGAGCGACAGAAGCTTGAGAAGGCGAGAACGCAAGTTGTTGTGGCGACGGACCCAGCCATATGCAGTTGTAAGCACCGCAGTTGTGAAAGTCGTTTTCGGTAGAGCTCCCTACGGGCCATGAAACGTATGAGGGGTGTGTCGAATCAGGGGCGGGTGCGCCTTGCGGACCCTGCCGCTGGGGCCTTTGGTGGAGTTGCCTAGGAAGTCGCGGAGCGTGTGAGAGTGTGCTGAGTCTGGTACGGGTACGCCATGCTGACCCTGCCGTGGCCACGGTGCGGCATGGCACGGTCCGTTATCATGAGCACGCGGCACCGGTGTGGTTGGCAGTGCCCGGTTATGACCCGCGGGGCTTGTAGTGCCACTGCGGTAGCACGACCTTGCAGTACCTATAAATCAGTACGGTGCCAGGACTGCGCGATGCTGGCACATGCCCCCCCCAGGAAGGAAGGAAGGAGGTGGGAACGCAGGCAGGATACCGGACCTTCCCCCCAGGGAGGGGGGATCTCGGCGCGTTCGGCATGCACGCCGAAGGGGGGATCCAGATCGGGGGGGGTCCGGACTGGGGGGTGCGGATCGCGGAGGTTTGGAACGGTCGGGTCCAGACCGGGGGGGGGGTCGGGACTCCAGATTCTGATGAACATTCCGAATTGGAAATTTATGTTCGTTAAGCGAGCGCTAGAAGAATGTATGGCAATATAGATGATATTCGCTTATTGCTCGCAGTGCAGGGCAGTGCAAAAACGCGACTCGATAGGAGCTGCTGTTTCTGGCTTGAGAGACAGCGTGCCTAACAGGTCCTAGGCATACTGGTGTCAACTCTTGGGTCCATGAGGTGAAACACAAGATGGGCGGTAGAAGGCTGTCTTAGATAAACCAATAATGGCGTATCAAGCTCCCCTCGATATCCAAATAGTCGGTCCACTGAGAAGAAATCCAAGTGAACTCTATCCCGATACGGTCGCTGAAATGTGCGAGCGAAATTTGACCGCTAGCAGAGATTTTGCAGAATGGCAGCCGCTGGGCAATCCTTGGTGGCTATACGCATCGGTGGCCTACGCGAGGGCAGCTCTCCTCTGCGGCACCGTCGCGATTAGAATGGATGTGAAATCCATAGTGAAGAACGCCGTCCAATGTCGCAGAACCTTGTATAAAGTAGCTGTCGTAGTGCCAGATCTGGTTTTGTCCAGTCCACATCCTCGTCTAACTCGTAGCGTGTCTCCGATTGTCCAACAAGTCGTCGTAAGAAGCTTCACAAGTGATTGTGGGTCTGATGCAAATCACTGAATCATCATCTCCGTAACCAACGACTTATTTCGATCATGATGAAATTGCAACCGCGAAGTCTTTTGCTCCTGTCGAAGAGACAGAGTGCCGAAACGTAAAGAGTTGTCGTGAGGCGTTCTTCGAAGCCCACAGCATCTCACCCACAGGCCCATGCAATCCACAAGTGCGCCAACTGGTAAACTCAGCTGTGCGCGATCGAGCCATTTTGAAGTTGTAGCGGTTTCTGCGGCCCACATAACATGTAAGTCTCCGTTTCCGTGAGCCTCGTGCAAATGATCTGTGCCGCGGGATCTCTTCGCGCTGGTGCCGATGCTCCGTGTCTCTGCATTCAGCCTGGGTGGCCACTAATGCAGCAAGTTCGCCACTGCGGCGTTTACTCAATTTGTCTTAAAGATAGGATAGCTGGTCACTTGAGGACTATGCAACCTTTGTCTTGACGACTGATCGCGATTTCACCTGCGGCGAAGTCGTCGTTCTTGTGGGCAGACGAGGCGTCCGTGATGCGAGAGGTTAGCATAGGTGGTTTGAGCTTCCGATCGTAATTGCCACACT